AGACTGCAAGTGACGTCGCTAGCGGAAGCGCAAGTGTCTGAGAGTGCAAGCCTGAGAATGCAAGTCTGAGAGTTCAAGTGCGAGGCTGCAGCCAGACCCTTCTCGATTCAGGTGCATTCCCGACGTCAACACTACCTTCCAGGGCTCTACAGTGCGACCGAAAACTACTGCGTGCGACTAAACATTTTTTTAGGAGCACCAGTGCGACTGACCCGATCATCATCATACTTGTGATTGCGCTCAGGGGAGCTTCATCTAATAAGCAAAAATTACTTTTTATTACTTTTAATAATTTGTGTCTTTTTTATTGCTGAAGTGTGTTGAAATGTCTTCTTCTGCATTCTACTGTACGGACGTAACTTTACTTTCCCTTCAGCCTGAGGCTTATTCATTTCACTTTTTGTGTGAAAAGGCTTTTATATTTGCCAAAAATAGAACTTTTTTATTTGAAAAACAAACAAGCAAGCCCTGTCCAGATTTAAAAAGTAACGCAAAAGTAACGTAAAGCAACGCAATACTTTCCATAAAAAGTAACTAAGTAACGTAATTAGTTACTTTTTTATGGAGTAACGCAATATTGTAATGCATTCATTTTAAAAGTAACTTTACCCAACACTGCACCTCACGCACCGGATGCCGTGCGCTCAAAGCAGTTGGACATAGTGGTGTATTAGAGGTAAAATATGATATAAATACTGTTCGGTTTCTCAGTAAATGTGATAATGATTTAATACAATAAAATTAAATAAACAATAAGTTAATATTAAGTGACTTACATTGTCTGACTATAACACTATGGTCTGATTTTGCTCTATTTCGTCGTCGAAAATAGTTTGACACAAAGTCACAGCTCAGCCGCTGCGCATCTCCATTCAAACACAGCAAACACAGCTTTATGAATGAACGTTTTTTTTAAATGAATCTAGTGAGTCAGTGATTCATGATTACCCATATTACCCATTTTCATTCCTGAATGAATCAGCTGTTCAAACGAATAAATTGACTGAATGATTCAGTGATAAAATCAGTGACTTACCGCCACCTGCTGGTGGATTTAGTTTC